AGGTGAAATTTGCATTTGTTACAGCAAGAAAAGAGCCAAAGACAGCTTAATGTTAACCAAGAAGGATGCATAAAAAAATACCAAAGATACAAAAATTACACAATTGACAAAATACACATCCTGTAACAGTTCTGAGAGATATAGCAGCCAGGTATATATTGCACAGCTATTTACGGCATATGTATATATTGCACATAATTGGTATTGCACAACAAGGGGTGTTATAGTCTTTGTTGTTATATGTGTGGGGGTCTACCAGGGACCATGATGGTTATACAGTCTGACCGCTGCAGGAAGGAAGGAGCTCCGAATATCTCTCAGTGAGACATTGGGCACAAAGCTGGCCTTCCTTACCAGTCTGTTCAGTCTCTTCCTGTTAGTAGCCGAGATGCTGCAGCCCCAGCAGGCCACAACATAGAAAATGGCTGATGCCACAACAGAGTCATAACATATCTGAAGGAGTGCTCCCTGCACCCCGAAAGACCTCAGTCTCCTCAGCAGAAAGAGTCTGCTCTGTCCCTTCTTGTACAGAGCAGCAGAATTATCAGTTCAGTCCAGTTTATTGTTCAGATGAACACCCAGGTATTTGTAGGATTTCACAATCTCAATGTCCGCTCCTTGGATTGTCACTGGTGTGGGGGGTGTTGGGGAAATATTTTCCTAGGCCCATAACTTTGACCCAGTTTATCAGTTTGACCTCGCTGAGGAAAGGCCTGAAACCTTGGGCTGCTGTGCTGTCAGTGTTTTGTCTCCCTGTTCCTGCCTGTTGGCGTCAGCTGATAGCAGAGATGGAGTACTCGTGACTCGAATCGCGCACTGATTGACGCGGACTCGGACTCGTGAATTCTCGCGCATGATGACTCGGACTCGACTTGTACATTGACGCACCGACTTGGACTCGGATTTGAGCAAGTTTTGTCTCGAGTCAGATGTACTCCCTCCTGGCGTGTGCACCTGCGAGGCGAGTTCACGTACTGAGCCCCGCTACAGAGAGCTGAAGTCCCTCCCTTTCCGGTGGACCACCATGGGACCTTATTTCGAAAAAGATATGTATAGAAGTCAATGGCGAGAGAGAAATTATCTTTCAATCCCGTTTGAATTGTGCCATGAATTACACATATGATGTTTGTCAATTTAAAAGATTATTTTGAAAGAAAAAAAAGTTTGTGGTAAAACTGTGAAGTAACACTTATTTTTGTGTGAAACCGCTCAATGAACTACATCTCTGGTCTCGCACAACACACGTCACCAACACTAAGATGGCCGTCACCTTAGCACATTGAACCTCTTTCTTTCAGAATGAGGCGAAAAGTATTAAACGTCTGGGCATGTTGAGAGCTGCAAATACACAAAAGGGGAGTTAGTCAAGACCTCTCCAACTGCTACTTGGAGAGGTCTCACCTCCTTGGCCGTGGTGCCCTTGAGAAAGGCACCGGACACAGGAGATATGAAAGTGAGTATTGTATGAGACTTGAAAAGTGAACTAAGACATGTAAAAGTGGAGTAGAAGTTCAAAATGAAGCTGTACCTGTTGTAAAGTATAGAAAGAAGTAAAAGCAAATACCTATTTCAAAGATTCAAAGATTACTTTCCCTGAAAATGTTTGAAATTCCTTGAAATCAAATATGTTCTCACTTTTCTAAAGCACAAACTTAACAGGGGAATATGTGTTCATATTGTAGAAACAGTTGTGAAATTCATTGGCTGCTTGAAACACCAGAAACAAAACATTCATAACTTTTTTTTTTTTTTCAGTAAGTTTGCTGAAGGTTGTTTGGTACACAGTAGGATTTTTCATTTTCTTGATATATTGTCAGCTCTGTGTTGTCACCTAGTGGTGAGAGTGTGTTCTTATTTTCTTTTAAAAGGGGCCCTATCATTTCCAGGTTCATATTAGTATGTAGTGCCTCTACTTTAACCCTTATGTTGTGTCCAGGTCTCCCGTGACCCGTTTCAAGTTAAAATGATATAATTACGCTCTAGTTTTTTTTTATTGGAACAAGGCTTCATGATATCCTCCACAACAGCTATATAAACACTGCAAAACTGATTTTGACAATTTGTGCCAAGTCTGAAGGTCTCTAAAAAATAAAGTGTATAATTTGGTGTTCGGGTCTGTGAAAACCCAGCAGAATTTTTTGGGGTGACTCGAGGTCAAATTTGGCCCAATCAAGATTCATCTTTGTCTTTAGACACCCCACCCCCACCTACTTCATCCACTGTAACAATTTTTCGCAACATGCACCTCGTCTGTTGTGATTGGTCAACCGCTTAGAGATGTCCCGCCCCGCTTATCACGTACAATGTGTTGGAGCAATAGAAGCGTGAGTGTTAGATAGTGATGTCACTATGTTCTGGAATAAACAAAGGAGTCCAATGGAGGCGTTTCAGGCAGGGGGGGATGTGTGAGGGAGAAACTCTCTATGGAGGGAAAACAAGGATTTTAGCCTTTGCAGACCATTTACATGCACTAAAACCTTTATAACACACTACAGGAAAGGTAAAACCCTAAAAAGCAGAATAAGGCCCCTTTAAGAATTAGGACGAGTTGTAAATATTGTAACGATAAAAGCCAACAGGTTTCAAGTTATGACAACATTTTATTTCAAAATAAAAAAAAACTTCACTGAATATTAAAAACACATACAATAAAAGTCTTACAATTTCCTCACATACATAATATTTACAGAGAAAAGTATTAGGAAATATTACCTCTGATATAATAAGTTGACTTATAAGCCATTTGGAAAATCCAAACAGTTGCATAATGTGTTATTAAAATTATACAGTATTTACAATCATTAAGCTAGTTTAAAAACCGCAACTGCTGTATCATCAATCCTGAATATATTATGTTATTTTATCTTATATAGCATTACTATTATTATATTTATAATAAAGGAAGCAGACCAATACAGGATGGGACATTTGTTATCTTGAGAAAATAGCCATTACATTGGAAAAACGCTATACGATATCACAAGGTCGGATATCTTCAGAAACAAGGTAAATACATTGGGTTTTCAAAATAAAAATGAGCACCCCAATAATCATAATTTATCTTGACATAAAAAATGCAATAATGTGTCACTCAATTTTCTTTTTCTCGAGGCTTGTCTGTTACCTTTACTTGTCATATGACACAATAAACCAGAGGAACGACTACTACATCTACAAAGAAATCTGTGTTACTTCAAACCACTGTTAAAAGAAACCAGATCTCTCTTTATAATCAGAGCATTGATTTGCAGGTGACTTTGGATTTTTTTTAAAAGGCTTTTAGATCAGTTACACCTCAAGACTGAAGCAGACGATCACAGAGCAGACAGGAAGTACTGCACGATAGCTGAGACGCTGATGAGGATGAGGAGGGGCGTGGCCTGGAGGAGAGAGGCGGAGCTCTTTAGTCTCACCTCCACAGGTAAGTGGTCGCTCACTTCCAGCGCCTGGCAGACAGAAGCAACAGAGCGCAGAGTTAAAAAAAAACACTAAATCTCCATCCGCCTGCTACTGTGTGCTTTTTGCATTAAAACAATAAAAAATGCTGAACTGTTTGAATAAAAGGCAACATTTTTAATAAAGAACATATTTATAAAAACGATGATGCAAACAAGAAAGACAACTATAGACTATAAAGTAGTGATTTACTGTATCTCACTGATGTCATCTATAGTATCTGAAGTGGCAACGGTTAGTGAATCACAATGAGATGTTTATGAGATATTTTTGCCTGAGCAAAAGTGTATACAGACAGTAAGACATTACCATCTATCAAGCCATGCAAAATGTGTATATAAGAGAGGAAAGAGGACAGAGAGACGTACCCTGGTCTTGGAGAGTTTGAACTCTTTGACGTAGTTGAAGACTATCGCAGAGGACGGATAGATACCCTTCAGAAAGGGTTTCCCATATACCACGATCCTGAGAAAACACAATCACAATCACACACACACAATAATATAGAACAAGTAAGCTAAAAGAAAACAATATTAAACATTAAAAAAACATCCAGAATTATAGAAAAACGTCCCTTAAATGTGCCTTTATTCTCTCCCCCTTCCCCTCTCTGCTACATTGAACTCTGTTTTAAAATGTAAAGCATTTTGAGCGGCATGTCTTGAAGGCAGGAAAGTTGCATTAAATACAGATGGAGCATCTTATTTCAGACTCCAGCTTACTGCTTCCTGCCTACTACCTGCCAGTTACCTGCCTAAGACCTGCCAAAGACCAGTATCTGGGAATGTTAAGCCCTCCCACTATTTTCCAAGAGGGCGTTGCCAGATTTTCAATTTCAGGATTTAACCAGGAGATGGCGCTTCCTTCACAAAAACAGGAAGACAACTTTTCATGGACTTTTAGTTTTGTTTAGAAGAGCATTTGAACACATCAATATTTTAGATCAAATTAAGTATATCTAATCTTGTAATTCAATAATATATAGTCTTTATATATTAAATAACTATGGCCAAACTAAGACTTAGTTTTTCACAAGAGAAAATGCAGATATTATATAAAAAACTAAAGTTAAAATCTTGTTTTTAATGCCCCAAGAGCAATAAAAACACTTGGTAAAAAAATACAAGCTGTAAAAATACTTATATGTATTTAATACTAATAACATAATGATTAATTTCAGATGATAATACTTTTCAGTGTCTGTCTCATGCAGCAGCTGACCCGGCCGACAGTAAAAATAAACATTTATAACTAGTTTAGGTTGTTTGAGAGGTAATTAAAATAGCTAAGGGTGATGATCTGACTTGAAGTGTGTGTTTTTGCTCCTAATTAAATGTGTACAAGATGTGAAGTCAACAGGTATAGGAAAATATTCCTAAAACGTCCAAATAGTCACAGTAGGGATTTGCCACTGTGCCACTACAGTTGATCTGTGTGTCTACAAAGAAAGCTTTTCATTTGCTAGATGCTGATGTAGCTATTTGGATTACTTTTGAAGATGCAGTTGGGAATATTTCCTCAACCCTGCTTTGTTATTTTCAGAAAAGTGAAACTTAAATAGGCCTATAAAATGATAGAATTTAAAAGAGTCTTGAAAAAGCATGGTGATGGCAATAAATGCATTATTGAATCCCCAAAATCTAGAGAAAACATTTAATTTAAGGGGAGCAGTTACTGAGAAGTATATAATGAGAACTGCTACCAATGGTGGCCTATTTAGTTTATTAAGAAATACATATTTTTAGCTTATTTCAGACTCCAGCTTACATACATTTCCCGCCTAAGGATAATATTCCCACAGTGCAGCATAATGTACAGTATCACACTGTATTACAAATTCAAAGTAAATGACTGGGGGTAATACAGCAATTTACTGCCTAGATTACAGATTTTGTTTACAGTGTATGTTGCATGTTTTAAATGTATTGTATTTACTTGTTTAAAATGAAATGTGTTTTAGATTGACTTTTAAAATCTAACTAACTACAGATGAAAAATAGCCTCTTGGCTAACTCTAAGGCGCCGTTTACACGAGGAGAAAACTGCTTGTATCTGCATAGTTTCGCGTGCGTATAGCCCTATTATTTACACGAGGCCGATAGAAACTGACCCCACAAACGATAACGGGTCCCAAGGTGGATAGATTTGCAAATGAAACGCTCTGGGGGGTCAACCGAGTCCGTGTAATCACCTCTATACGAATATTTCCTGAAAAAATAACGATAGCCCCACCTTTCCCCACCTCTCCTGCTCACTGCTGTAGCATGGCTGTGTTAATTAAACGCACAAGGGGTTCTTGAATGAAATAACCAGAATTGTTAACGCCCAATATACTCCTTAAACAAAATAAACAGAGTCAGATTTCATGCATTGATCCATTATATTGACAAAGGAGCGATCTCACCCGGTGTTTGTAGAGAATATCTCTCTGAGCGAGTCCTCTCCACGGAGATATGCTCCTCCTCCTGTCAGTAGCTACTGCTAGTGCTACTGCTACTGACCATGCTACAGATATTAGTGCAAAAATATACAGCTCCTCTACCACAACCATCAGCAACAAGTGGACATGGAGAATTACATTAACTACATGTTGCTAAATCCACGGCGGGGCGTAAACAGAAGGGTAGCCATGGCAACATTGCTGCGGGGCTGCTGCGGAGTCTTCTTCACTGCTTTTGGTGTATTTTGTGGCGGAAGTTACAGCGCCACTTACAGTCCCGGCATATGTACTACAGCGTTTCCAGTGGTCTCGTTTGAACAGACACGTTAAATGAAACAAATGCATGTGAACGGAAGACTTTTTTGAATACGCATACTGTGCATAAACGCAAACGTTCCCGTGTGAGCGGGGCCTAAAGAAAGGGTAGACATATCTGTACTTAGTGCCAAGTAGCTAAGCAGGTATTCACTCAGAGGGGGGTAGGTACTAAATGCCACCCATTTACATGTAGGCAAACAAAGTCAAAAATCAACATACAGTAGGGCGGTGGGGGATGGTGAACGGTATGGTCAATGTTTGTAAACACAATCCCCAGGATGTGTCCTTATCAAACCAAAATAGAAAATGCAGATATTACACTCAGACATCTGAAAAGTCCTTATAAAATGATAGAATTTAAAAGAGTCTTGAAAAAGCATGGTGATGGCAATAAATGCATTAATGAATCCCCAAAATCTACAGAATACATTTAATTTAAGGGGAGCAGTTACTGCAGTTTCCTCGGATCGCGAGGACATGTTCTTCGAGGACTGCTTTCGAAATGGACAGCATCGCCCTGAGAAATTTGCGGGTGATATGTTCATGGCCATGTTGCCATTTGACTCATATGAGAACATGGTCAAAATCACCAACTGGAGTGGGAGCAAAGGGAAAATGCCTCTTCCCCTCAATGTGAGGCAGACACTTGAGTCCAGTGTCTCCCGTCGGTTCCCAGGCCTGACCACGGACCAGTGGCATAAAATTAGGAACCGGGTAAACGAGAGACTGAGGAGCCCACGAAAAACGGATCCAGAAACACCTCGCCCTGGTTTCCGCCGCAGAGAGGCAAACTGTAGATAGGCCAAATATAGGCATACTGTAGATAGGCCGCAGATAGGCATAGTTTGTTAAATATAGGACCATAATATAAGATTAGGATTTTTTGTAGATTAATTTTGTTAAATAAAAACATGGTGATGTTTTATAATATAAGATTAGGATTTCTTGTAGATTATTTTGTTAAATAAAAACATGGTGATGTTTTATAATATAAGATTAGGATTTATTGTAGATTAATTTGATAAATAAAAACATGGTGATGTTTTGTAAATGTATGATCCTATCTGAAAAAATATGAATACTCCTAAAATAAATGGTAGACATATCAAATTGTTTCCTCTTTGTATTTGTTTTATTATTTTCTCATCTGTGATGGATAAAGAAAGTAATCCAAAAGTAATCTAAAAGTAATCTGATTACGTTACTTTTTTAAGACACGTAACTGTAACTGTATTCGGATTACTTTCAGAGCCATGTATTCAGTAATCAGTAACTGATTACATTTACAAAGTAACCCTCCCAACCCTGTTCATATCGCAATATATTCCAGAAGTCTGAAATGCAAAATGTTAGAAATTAAAATCAATGTTTAATAGCATTATTTAGTCTAAAACATACCGTCAGTTTAAAAGCTGTTTTATAGTGAAAAACCCAGAAGTTCTCATTAAATCTCAATGCCAAGCTTTTATTCTGAATATCCTTCATATCCGGTTAGTATTGACAAGCATGTGGCTAATATTACGTTTTCTGAATGTGAAGTAAAAATGACACGGAATGTTGCACACCAAAACCTACTGACTTTAACATTACATCTATAGACGTCGAGATAGTATTACTGATGAATATTAAATGAAGGTACCGTTGATCGTAAAGTGTTTTCACATACGTGGGTAGCTATGACGTCAGAAGGAGTTACCGTAAATGAGAGCTGCCGTAAAAGTGTTTCTAAACGAACTATTACAGCTGTTATAAAGCATTAAATAAAAAGTCATGAAAGAGATAAGGAGGAGAAAAGGTTTAAGGAAGTAAGCAAGGAATACAGAATGTCGAAATCCTCTGTTTCACGCGATGTCGAACATTGAAGACAGAGGACGGCGGTCCCCCAATCTACACAGCGGGAGAACGAAGATCATAAAGCAGATCGGAGGAGACATCACGATCTTTCCCACATTAGTGCAATTCACCTATACTTAACCCCAAATAAAAGAACCCAATAAAAACAGTTGTTAAATAATAGTGAAGTCACATTGTAATAATAACTCATCTCTAGGTTTGAGTGTTCTTTTTCTGCTTTTCGTTGAATACAGAATATTCATATTTGTCAGTGATTTCATTTGTCATGTCAATTCGGCGAACATAAACATAAATGATCGTGGTGAAGATGATGATTAAATTAGGATTAAAAATCGGGAAAGCCGGCTGCATTTCCTCCCGTTCGTTTTTTTCGACTAAACAACATTATTTTGTTAAATAACAACATGGTGATGTTTCGTAAATGATTACATGTCTTAATTAGCACAGACTATGATCCTATCCGTGACATATGGATCTTAACAAAGATCCGCTATACATTAGTACCAGACATACTGTACATTCAGCTTACTGTATCGAAGATGATTTCACATGAGCTCCAGTGTGGAACCCCACTGCAACCCCTGGTGGATCAATGATCCATTGCAGCTGGCTTCACAATAATTAAATTGATTTATCACGGGGGCGGTATCAAGTCAGACTGGGGGCCGGCTCTTCATCACGAACCGATCACGGGCCGATCACGGACCGTGCACGAGCCAATCACGACCCTCGCGTTTCAAACTGTCTGAAATAAGATGCTCCATCTGTATGGTTTTTATTCATTGACTCATGTTATCGATACATGTACTTAGTTTAAAATACATCCTTAGTGTAAGCCTTAAAACGAAAGCAGTTCTTTTGAGAAAGTTTACGTTTTTGTACTTCTTCACTTGGTTTTGACTGTTTCTCACACACACATTTACTCACACACAGACCTACCTGTCATAAGCACAGTTAGTGTGTTCCCCGACGGTGGTGTCCACTTTGTCTCGGATCAGCCAGGAGAAACCGGCCTGAGTGAAGAGTCGGATGTCTTTCTTGTTCGTTCGGGTCATATAGGCACAGCTGGCATGGAAATCTCCCAGGAACATCACATTCTATACCAAACACAAACAAAATGTGATACTTAAAGAGGACATATTTTGCTCATTTTCAGGTTCATGTTCGTATTTAGTGTCTCGACTGTGACGTGTTTACATGCTTTAATGTTCAGAAAGGTCTTTATTACTGAACAAAACATTCATATAATTGTTGTAAGTTTGCTGAAGTAAGGTTGTTTGATATACAGTAGGATGTTTCATTTTGTTTCACAGACACTGATATTGTCAGCTCTGTGTTGTCACCTAGTGGTGAGTTTGTTCTTCATTTCATTTAAAGGGGCCCTATAATTTTCAGGTGTATATCAGTATGTAGTGTCTCTACTTTAAAGAGTTCTCTCCTGCTGATGTTCAGGTGTATATCAGTATGTAGTGTCTCTACTTTAAAGAGTCCTCTCCTGCTGATGTTCAGGTGTATATCAGTATGTAGTGTCTCTACTTTAAAGAGTCCTCTCCTGCTGATGTTCAGGTGTATATCAGTATGTAGTGTCTCTACTTTAAAGAGTCCTCTCCTGCTGATGTTCAGGTGTATTTCAGTATGTAGTGTCTCTACTTTAAAGAGTCCTCTCCTGCTGATGTTCAGGTGTATATCAGTATGTAGTGTCTCTACTTTAAAGAGTCCTCTCCTGCTGATGTTCAGGTGTATATCAGTATGTAGTGTCTCTACTGGAACATGTCTCCATGCTTTAATGTTCAAAAAGCTCTTTATTTTTCTCATACTGCCTGTGCTGCAGCACCTCTTTTCACCCTCTGTCTGAAACCAGAGCCCAGTCTGCTCTGATTGGTTAGCTGGCCGGCTCTGTTGTGATTGGTCAACCTCTTAGAGATGTCCTGCCCCTTAGCCTATTACGTACAATGTGTTGGAGCGCTAGCCAATAGGAGCACAAGTTTTTCGTAGTGATGTCCGTGAGTTCCTGGTGTAAATAAAGGAGTCCAATGGAGGCGTTCCAGGCAGGAAGTTTGTGGGAGAGAAACTCCCTCCGGAGGGAACTTTGGAATTTTAGCCTTTGCAGACCATCTACATGCACAAAAACCTATAGAACACACTACAGTACATGAGAGGGAAAACCCACAAAGAGAATAACAGGGCCCCTTCAAACAAGTCCAAGTTGTTTTCAGCTTACAGCTATAGCTAACATCACATCAATGTATCTAATATAGCATATTCCAATTACTTATATATAGACTATTCCTGCACTATTTCTATTCTATTTGATTTGTATTTACCTGTACTATTTTATCTGTTTTATTGTGTTGCACTGTTGGAGGAGCCTGTGACCTAAGATTTCCATTGACATAACTACACTGTAGCTATGTACACATGACAATAAAAGCCTTGAATCTTGAATCTTCATTGATGTTCACAAGCATTTCCTTCATATGCGATATAGTCTGACATGGTTCGATCACATAAAATCCCATCTTCTCACCATGTTGTTCCATTTCTTGCGGACTTCCTCAAAGACGTCGTACAGTCGGTCGATCTCCTTTACAGCCTTACTGGGATCAGTGTGCAGTGGAACCAAAACAAACTTCTTTATTGCTGCAGGACAAAAATAATGGGAAGGGGAAAAGGGGATTTGAAAATATACTAAGCAATAAACAAATGTGTGATTCTGGATTCAATCTGTACATTTTGATGCTAAATGTCAGTTTATTTTGCCAATGACTGCTTATTTATTCTGTTCTTATTGAACTCTTGCTCATTATTTGTCTCTTTCTGAGTTTTGTTCTCCGTGAACAAAACAAACCCTATATAAAAAAATCTATTTCACATAAAAGCATGAATCATTCAGGCTTGTAGAGCAGTCATCTCAAACTTGGACTGGATTTATATAATTATTCGTCGCAGACAGTGGCGGCGCCAGAGCATTTTTGTTGGGTAATCTGTGGTAGGGCTAACCCATACAGTGGTGGTGCTCAAGTCAGTATTTGCAATGTAATTACATACACGCTATATCACCCCCCATGACAGTGAAACGCCACGCGTGAGGTTCAGATTATTTCCCTGTCTAAGTCTATTCAAATTGCATTCTGAGGCATTTTGATCTGACCGCGGCCGCGCTGATATTATAACGCCAGAGAATTTCCACACCTTTAGTGTATAAAACTCCCCCACTACTTAGACTATTCCTTTCACCCCTCTTATAGCATAAGCCCGAATGGTGTCAACCATATTGCATCAGTAACGTGCACTTGTTGTTACAGCAGGATCGGTTTGTGTGCTGTGGACACGACCCGTATATTTTCGCAATCCGTGTTCTCAACATTTAGCATTTCGCTTATTATTTAATTGAATTTGCATCACTTTTCATGGTGGGGCTAAGCCATTTCTTGGTATGGCTGTAGCCTACCCCAGCCATACCCTGGCGCCGCCACTGGTCGCAGAGGATTACAAACTTTTTAATTATATTATGAATTATGTAGTTGTGATTGACACCACGTACTAAAGCTGTCAATTACTGTAACTAGATTTGTTGGAAAACATATGTTTTGTATGTTTCATGTCCACTGACCGGTTTTATCACTTTGGAACTGAACGGCATACGGCGCTCTGACAAAGGACTGTTTCTTCTCGTACTGATGCTTCCCCGTCACACTCACCATGCCTGACCTTAATGTAGAAAAGAGAAGAAGAAGAAGAAAAACAAGAAGTATGATTCGTCAGACGAGGAACAAGACTGATCTGAATCTGTTTTATTTTTTCTTTATATTTGACATATATCAGTCTCGCAGACACACTGAAAGGATCGTATAAGATGTCTTCGCATCATCTTAAAGTCAATTTAATTTGTGTAATTTCATTTCATTTCAAACCTTTATTTATCCAGGTTGTATCCCATTGAGATCATTGATCTCTTTTTCAAGGGAGACCTGCTCAAGTAGGTTCCACATGAAACATTAAAACATAAACAGAGCAACAAAAGGACATCATACAGTATCATTACAGGGATTACAATTTACATAACTATCCACATGAACAGGTACCAACAGCTTCCGATTGAGTAGCATCCAACCGAGCTTTAAAAACATTTAGTGGCACCAGATTGCTCAGTTTCCATTTCAATTGCAGACTATTCCAGGACAGTGGAGCTGCGCAATACATCCCACCAACATGTTCCCATGGCTTGTTCACTTTAAAAAAAAAAAAGTTGTCTTAAGGATGTCACTATAGGAGAAATGTCGTACTCAATACCAAAAATACCAATGTCTATACCAGGATAACAAACTGAATAATATAATTAATAAACACTATTTCTTTACCATTTGCATACTGGTTTTTGTTAGAAAGTCATGATGATTCCCACTCTAAAATCTATTTTCTATTAAAACTGTATTTATTCAAGTTGTGCCAAATCACTTTTACAACATGTCATTAAACTCATCTTGTAAAATTAATTAATTAATTATTACTGGAAAGAGCTTGAAAAGTGCAGAACTGTCATCAGCTTACACTGAAGCAATATAAAAAAGGGGAACAAAGTACATTTACCAGGACATGTTGAAGCTTTAGTTTACCGTGTCCCAAACACAATTACGTCTGAAGCCCTTGCAATACTTCTACGGTACCTTCGCTACTGATGAAAAACGAGTATCGCCATATTTTTTTCAAATATCGGCATCGACTTGAAACCAAACAATTGGTTCCCGTGACGAACCATGAATCTCCACCACAGATTTTGAACACATGGTTAACCTTGTGAACTCCAACTTGTTAGCCAAGTTAAATAAAGTGCCACAGTGACGCGTCCTAAAACCCGGAAGTAAGTTAGCATTTTACCACTTCCGGTTCCTTCCACAAAAAATCATAAATCTAATCGATAGATTTATGATTCGAATTATAAAAGTAGGGTAGACATGTGGAGATTATCCGAATGAACAAAACGTGATCTGTCTCTTCAATTTGTGTCAACCACAGACCTTATTTCCAGCTATTTTCCAAAATCCTATGCAGAAATTGCATTGGTTTTTGTCGAAGGAACCGGAAGGAGTTTACTTCCGGGTTTTAGGACGCGTCACTGTGGCACTCTATAGTCAACAAAAATAAGTAGATTTTTTGTTTTGCGTGGGACACAAACAGCCGTCTCCTCTGTCCGCTGGTGGACGTCAACAAGTTAATTCAGGGGGGTTTTTTGTGGTAGTTTTTTATCCCAGAGCTTATTGGGTTGCAGTCAGATCATTGATCCCACTTTAGATGATTTCTATCACATGTTCCACTTATTTCTTTGTGATTTGCTTCAGTCAAGGTTAGTAAGAGATCGACTACGACTCAAATCTTAATATTTACAAGCTTAAGCTTCACAGCAGAAACCTTTAGAAGATTTAAAATACCTAAAGTATAACAAATTAAGGGAAAGTGTTATATGCACTTACTGTCATAGCTCAAAGAAATATGTATTAAAAGAACCGTTCAAAACCTTTTTCTCTGTTTCGATTAATCGAAACGTTATCCCTACCGTAATGTTTATTGTACTACCTCATCGGATTTGGGAGCATATGCTATGAACCTCTTATATTTCTATGGATCGTTTTTTTTAAATGTTCCCAAATTGGGATCAATGAAGTACTTATCTATCTATCTATCTATCCATCCATCCATCCATCCATCCATCCATCCATCCACCTATCCATCTAACTATCTATCTATCTATCTTTACATAGAAGTTTGTTTTTAGGATATCATTTTTTCTATGATCTGCAGATATTGAATTACTTCCTTTTTTTTAATTGAAATTGAGGCGAAACAAGCGGTGTACAGGTGTGGTTTTAACCTGAACTTGGTCTTACCTGTAGATGAAAACATACTGCTGCATGTCGGCGGGAGAGTTTCCCAGACTCTTACTGGATACTTCCTTGTATTTGTGATGTTCATACCTTGTTACAACAGAGACAAAAAGAAACTATTAATGACAAAAATCTACAAAAAGACAGCAGTCAATATATGCACAAATGACAGGGCTCAGATTTTGGTGAGAAAGCACTAAAACCTCCAATCTGAACACAAGCCCACAGGGATTTGGAGACTTTTAATAGATGTCAACATGCTATTTGACTTTGAAACACTTAATCAAATCAGTCAAAACCAATTAAAAAACTCATAAAATCAGATAGTATTGTGCTTGTGTGTACAGTATGTGTGGACGATGCAGAACATAAACCATTTCCTACATATCCTACTATTCATTTCAGATTTCAACATCTTAACAATACTCAGTTTTGCAGGCACAAAAACATATAATCTAAAAAAAAGAAACTCCTGATTTAAGATCAGCTGATACTGAAGGCAAGGACAGCAACTCATGATAATATCGCTTTCACCAGCTGCTCTTCAACTCAATGGGTTAACAAGCAACACTTAAAGGAGACATGTCATGCTTTTCCGGTTATTACCCGTCCCCTTGTGTGTTATGAAGGTTTTTATGCATGTAAACGGTGTGCAGAGTCAAAACCCTCAAAGTACACCCTGTAGCGAGTAAAACTCTAACACAGAAAATACCTCCCCAAAACGCCTCGTTGGAGATACGTCTTTGTCCATTTGATTCTTCCGGGTACGGGATGATGTAATCCCGTACCCGGAACTAAATGGACCAATCCGTGGAGCCGTTACGTTACGTCCGCGGAGCTGTTACGTTGAACCCCTGCTGATTGGTCCAAATCGACCAATCCACGGACTTCCTCACACACACACACAGTGCAGGCAGCTCTGGCAGGCTGATGACAGACAGTTGGGATCGCAGCAAAATTCTCTCTGCAGACCCATTCTCACAGCGTTTATCAACCTTTTTCTTACTCAATATCAAGCCACACTTATTGTTTTTACTTCGGCTGTGACTTTGTGTGTGCTCAGGATGAGTTTGGCTGTGTTTCGCTGTGTATCGCTAAACAAAGAAACAACCCCTCCACGGAGCTCAGCGCGATTCACAACGTCCCGACCAATCAGAGCACACTGTGCTCACAGGGAGGGTGGGGGCTGGAGCTTTGGGAGCTACAACGAGCCGTTAAAGGCAGAGAGTGAAATTCAGTGAATACACGTAGTTTACAGAGATGCTGTATGAGAAACCAATGTGAGTTTGGAAAAATGCACAATATAAATCTATTTTAGTATACCTCAACAATGGAATTATGATCAGTGGAAATGGCCATGACATGTCTCCTTTAATAGAGTAAATATTGTACTTTTTAGCGCACAAGATAAGAATTTAAAATACAACAAAGTGTTCGATTGTTATTGGTCGCAATCTGTGACCTCTTGCAAACAAATGCTTGTAATAATGGGGAACACCAAATGTTCTAGTTGGGCCTATGAAATGCTTTCAGATCCGGAAAGAAACATTTCTCCTCTTAACTTCCCACATGGTTTCATTTAAATATTCTAATACTCCATAAAGTGCGATACAATAATCACTGTGTTGACTCTTTAGAGGGGTCTGACTCCTTTGTTGATAAACCATTGGACTAAACTACATAAATGTGTATAAAGAAGTCTACATATGTCGTATAATGTATCACTCTCAAGAGACATTTCACTGAGTTGAGTAAATGTATCTTATAACACTGCTGTACTTATACTTCAGTAGGATCTTTAATGCAGAACTTGTACTTTTACATCAATATATATTTATTTTCTCTTTGTTTGACAAGACGTTTCCCACAGATCCACACATGCACAACAACTTCGCTTTAGACGGTTTACAGTAAAATATATAGAAATCATGCTTTTTATCCCAAGTTGATTCATGGTTTATAGCCTCATAATTGTCCCAGGGAAACCAACAGACTTGCATTTGTCAATTAAAAAAGCCAATTAGCTAAAGCAATTAAATTATTCACCAACAATTTTTAGACAGATACGGACACAAAATCATAGTTCCCTATTAGCCATCACCAGAAAGAAAGCAGCCGATGTAAGTAAAGCCTTGTTCCAGTTATATACTTTGGGTTTAATTGGCTAATTTCAAAGGTGGAACAAAACATTGGTGTACATACCAACCTTTATTGAATATATATTGACATAGATTTCTGTGAAACAAGTTTATTTTGGGATATTTTGAAGTGTGACTTGTAGTGGTTTGATAATTGACAGCCAGTTAGTTATCCTCAATATCAATACTTGGGTATTCTACTCTTACTCTTGCACTTTTCTTGCATTTTATGTATTTGTACTGCTATGTTTGTAATTTTCATTTTCTTAATGTTTAAAGTGAGGGACTGCGGATGGAAAGTAGCTCAAAGCTAAATCCGGCATATTTACACTTGGTACATTTCATGTTTTAAGTGTTCATTAATGTGCAATGTCCCTGCCAAATAAACGAATACATAAATATCCACAGTATGATTTACATTTTAAATAATAATTAAATTCAGAAGTGATCTGCAAACACCAAACAAGTGTTTCTAACAACTGTAACTAAACTTAATTCACCAAGTTATAAAATAGTTGATTATTTTAAAAACCACATCATCTATTGTGTGAATAGTAGGTGAAGTAAAATGTATATTATAATGCTTTTTGACTGAATCAAGCCGAAAAAACATGCGTCTGATTTGAATAAATTCCAATTTTACCCTTTGATGTAACACTTTATTTTGGTAAATCTACTCAGTTCAACAAAAGCATTCATTGTTATATAGGTCTGCGTCCTGTTTAGCCTAGCTTAGCACAAACACTGAAAGAAGGGAGAAACTGCTAGTCTTTCTCAATACAAATATTTAAATGTTGTATCTTGTTTGCGATCAAGCTATTAAAATCCTGTAGTTAGCTGGGTTTAGTAGACAGTAGAGTTATAAACAACAAGCCCGGTTTTGTTCAGTTCTGCAAAGTCATCTACACTCACTGCGTCAATATAAAATATAAAATACATTTCTTTGAATATAATATTTACTAAACCATATGGTAAAAGTAAACCAGTGACATTCCAGGTACTTGGAAGGTGAATGTGCTAACTATTGATTTAGCTTGAGGTTTGCAGAGGTGTAAAGTAACTTAGTACATTTACTGAAGTACTGTACTCAAGCAACATTTTGAGATACTTGTACTTTACTTGAGTGTTTCCATTTTATGCTACTTTGTACTTCTATTCCACTACAATTCAGAAGTAAATAGTGTACTTGAACTCCACTACATTTATTGTGTACCTTTAGTTACGATGATGATGTGAAATATAATCAAGTGTTAAATCAGACTTTAGTTCCACCTGGAGTCAATTCACAAGCTACCCTGCAGTATACAAAGTCATTCAAACTAGCTGCACCTTTACCAGCTTTGATAACAAGATCTGAGTACTTCTACTTTTACTCAAGTACAAGATCTGAGTACTTCTACTTTTACTCAAGTACAAGACCTGAGTACTTCTCCCACCTCTTGAGGTTTTCAGTTTGCATCATTTTGTGTTAAGCTAGGCTTGTCTGTGTCTTTGAAGCAGTTCCTTTAACCTTAAGGTTCAACAGGCACATAAATAATGCTTTAAAATCATGATTATTCAATGTGCCGGACCATATTTTTGTTGATAAACCTACAAATTCAGAGACTTTTCTTCCAGTTGAAACAGATTTTGTTGATAGTCAGTTTGTTGCAAATGTACCTTAACGTCAACTATCCAAAATAAAGTGTTAAACATAACAGGATTAGGATTAGGATTAGTAATTAGATGAAGTTCTACATGCTCATAAATCCACTGTACCTTTGAGTGGCCCTGTTGGAGGCAGACAGCAGACACATAACGATCACCACGTTGATGCGGTTAAAGTTGTGTTAGTATTCCTCAATGAGTGCATTTTTCAGTCCTTCAGTTTAGTCGGTGATGTTTTGTCAACATTCAAAAATAATTACAGACATTTTTACATGTGATGCTGTATGCAAAATCACTTTTAACAGCTTTTGTCGTGAATAGAGAAGCATTTTATTATATAACACAATATATTACACAATATGTTGTGCTTTCATCTGTTCTCTGAACCTTGACTTTTTATTGAGTTGAAATCAAATATATTTTTCAATCCACATTAGTCTTATTTCTCTCAAATTGTGTGCGGAAATTTCAAATCTGTAGCCCTGGTCATGTGAAAACCTAGTATATCAGCATCTTTATATGCCACACATATATATATGCTTTCTATATTGTTTTAACATTTAAATAATCCGTTCATCCGTTTAACTCTGAACTAGAGTTTAGTAACAATTCATAAAAACATGAATCCTTATAAAAGTGTGTAATCATAGAAACTGGAACTGACCAACAAATGGGATATTACACAACCTGACATCCAAATTGTGTTGTTAATGTTTATAAGTGTATAACATATCAGTAAATCATTTTCTAAGCATTGAGAGAGTCATTACAACATTTAATACAAGGTGCTTTATTACTTTTAATTTGACTGAGCCACTGCCTTTAGCACAAGGTTTTGTGTTGTTGCTAGTTGAACTAATGATGCAATATTTCACAGACAAAATATTATTTTAAGGCTTTGTGCTCCTTCCTACAAACTAGAGAGTGAAGCACAGTGACCTGCTTCACTAATATTCTCCTTACCTGTTGACAGAAACTAGAAGCTTTTTAATGGCTTTACCATCAGGATCCTTCACCCCCTGCAGGAGACAGATATCACAGCGAGCCACGACCTGACAGACAGAAATACACACACAGTTTAAAACATTAGACCACAGGTTATGCATTAGTTCAGTAACAAGGTCCATGAGATCTGAAATTACCTGTATGCACTGTAGCTCATACATCACAGATAATATGTAATCATTGTTTTAGTTAATAAAATATGTATTGTGCCAGTTTAATTTGACAGCATGCAATGATGTAATAGAGCAGGACTTAAACATCTATAATATTGCAAACATTAGGAACAGGAAGTTTCAGCTTTTCAGAAGACGGTGTGTGCGCCTCTGTCTGTGTGGCTGTGTGTGTGTGTGTGTGTGTGTGTGTGTGTGTGTGTGTCTGTGTGTGTGTGTGTGTGTGTGTGTGTAGGTGTGCGTGTAGGTGTGTGTGTCCTACCCGTGTCAGAGTGTGTAGAACTCCGCTTTGTGACGCTTTGGCCAAGTTGAAATTGTCCACATTGTAGGCACAGATCTTGAATCCTGAATCTCCCTCCACCAGCAGGGAGAGGAGCGAGAGGAGGAGAGAGGAGAGGAGGAGAGGAAGAGGAAGGAAGCGCCACCTCATGGTCAGACTGGGGAGGGAATACAACACATTTTGATTTGATTTGATTTGATTTATTTTGAATGTGTAAAACAATAACACAAACATTTAACATGATAATTATTATAGAATACAAAATTAATCAGACATGCTTGCCTCCATCTTGATTACTTGAATATTTCTGAGAAAACGTGTCAACATCAGAGACAACGGTAGAAGACGGTATGGTTTCTATACTTGAAAATAGTGTGTTTTTCTTAATATAAATAAAACAACTGAAAAATTGCAGATGTAGATGCAATATTTATATTTCTTCTTGCTGACCTGAACTCCTTGAGCTGTCATTTAAACTGCAGTTTACAATCGCAATTACATCGATTTGACAAATGATAAATTATAAAAAAGGAATTTAACCAAGTGGAGGGGCCTTGATTATATATATTATTTTTTTTACAGACATTAAACTATATATTTACTATATATAGCCATGCACATCAAAGTGAAGTGAAACCAAATGTGACACAGTGCGGTGAGACGGCGACTCTTCCCTTGAGATGGTATTCTCATTTTACACAAAGAGGAAGCAGCGAGTGGGTGGAAAAGCACTTTTAAACTGTGAGAAAGAAATGTCAAACAAAATGAAAGAAACAATGAACAACATGACTGCAGGAGAGTTTTCCCAACCAAGAAACACAGCAGGAATGTTGGTGAATTTCAGCAGCATTTCTCATTTCCACAGTAGAAACTGAGTGTAAATATGCGACAGGTTTAGTGGTTAAACTGGTCTGAAGGAGGAGTGTGAGCATGTTCAGACCTGAGGCGGGGAGGGGACAGTCACCTACACCATCTCCTATTTATATATGTTTGTATTGGCAGCTACAAAGACAGATAATTAAATACTATGTTAATTATTATTACATCCACACTGAGCTTAGACAGGGAATCTCATGCAGTGTTCTTCATATCTCAATACATTAGAATCCATGTGAGTTTGAAGCCGTTTGGTTTCTATCACATGATGCATAATCTCAACATCATTGTAAATCATAGCTTGCTATTAAATAAATAAATACAATAATTGTCATGGATTTAGTGACCAAGGTCTCATTTAAATAGGGTAAAGGGGATTTACACATGCGGTGAAATCAGATGGAAGAGTTTGGAGAACTGAAATCAAAGTGTTTTTGTCATTTGATGTGAAGTGCATACTGCATTAAACCCACTGTTTCACAGGAATATGCATTTAAAGGGAAGAGGCCCAGCTGTGTCAGATCTTTAAGCACCCATGAATGCATCATAGTGTGAATAGCCCTGGTTAGGGTCTCAGACATCCATTCAGACGGCTGTGAAGAACTTAAAGACGTGAGGAAACGACAACCATCGCTGTTTTTATTTGACCAGCATCTTGTTGTCATGCTGTAATCATCACATCATCACATTCCTGCAGACTACATCATTAAACAACAACCCTACACTAATGCTGAATGCATGAAGATCCGACACAGTTTGGCCTCTCTCCTGCAACTGCATATTCACTATGTCAAGTCATAGAGAAAAGATGTAACTGTGAGTTTACTGCATTAAGCACTTCCTCTGTAAACATTGGGATTTCAGTGAGAAGTGCAAAAACAACTCTCTCAACTCATCCTTCTGATCTCAGTGTGCATCTGTTAGTCTCTCTTAAATTAGATACACACACGTACACACACACACACAAACACACACACGTACTCCTAAAACACAAATACACACACACTGTTTAATCCGTCCATAGTGAGTCAGTTGTGACTGTTGCAGCCCCTCCCAGGAGGTGGTGGGACCAGAAGAGCAGCTTCTGCACAAACACTCCCTCAACACACACACACACACACACACACTGTGTATATATATATACTTATTTGCACAAATATTTTTATATACGGGATCGTGGGAAACAGTATTTCGATCTCTCTGTCTGTACACACAAACTGGAAGATTGACAATAAAGTTGCCTTTGACTTTTGACACAACACACTCACAGATTTTATAAAAGACTGTGACAATATTTTGTGTGCAAAATTCAGAAATGTGTCTTTGATTGCATGTGCAATCTGATATTAAAGGTCCCCTATTATACTGTTTTCATCAATATATTATAGCTCTCAGATATATACAGAACCTGTCTCTGATTGGCTGAAACACCAAACAGATCATTGCAGCATCCCATAATCCCCTCTGTTTCAGCCCTGTTTCAAAAGTGCTGATTCTCTGTCTGTTACTTTAGATGAAAATAAGGAGCCCCTCCCCACGCCCCTCTGAGAGATATTTGGTTAAAAAGAACTCAATGGTGCTCTAGGAGGAGATTCAGGTGATACGGTGGGGGGGGGGGGTACCTTGGTTGCTGATTGGCTAATGGTTACACAAGACAAAACATCGTTATGACATCATAAAGTGGCCAAAATCTGATCAGCTCATTTTCAGACAGGTTTTTATATAAATGGATCAGGACAAAAAGAGAGAGAATCTTTGTTCCTGAAACTTTCAGAGTCTCTTTCCACAGAGGGGACACATGTTGATGAAGAAGAGACATGGAGAAGAGGGGACACATGTTGATGAAGAAGAGACATGGAGAAGAGGGGACACATGTTGATGTAGAAGAGACATAAAGAAGAGGGGACACATGTTGATGTAGAAGAGACATGAAGAAGAGGGGACACATGTTGATGTAGAAGAGACATAAAGAAGAGGGGACACATGTTGATGTAGAAGAGACATGAAGAAGAGGGGACACATGTTGATGTAGAAGAGACATGAAGAAGAGGGGACACATGCTGATGTAGAAGAGACATGAAGAAGAGGGGACACATGTTGATGTAGAAGAGACATGAAGAAGAGGGGACACATGCTGATGTAGAAGAGACATGAAGAAGAGGGGACACATGTTGATGTAGAAGAGACATGAAGAAGAGGGGACACGTGTTGATGTAGAAGAGACATGAAGAAGAGGGGACACATGTTGATGTAGAGGAGACATGAAGAAGAGGGGACACATGGTGATGTAGAAGAGACATGAAGAAGAGGGGACACATGTTGATGGAGAGGAGACATGAAGAAGAGGGGACACATGCTGATGTAGAAGAGACATGAAGAAGAGGGGACACATGTTGATGTAGAAGAGACATGAAGAAGAGGGGATACATGTTGATGTAGAAGAGACTAGAAGAGACATGAAGAAGAGGGGACACATGTTGATGAAGAAGGGACATGAAGAAGTGGATTTTGCATAATAGGTGACCTTTAAAAGAAAATATATATTTTACATTTATATTAAATCTAATATTTAATATTCCATTCCTCACACACTTAATGTATATATTATATCCTGCTTTATATGTTGTTACTGTAAATTTGTATTTCAACATTTATATGTTCTACTTTGTTGCTATTGCATTTCTATTGGAGATGTTCACATTTTGGAATGTTTATTTCTAGTCTTTAATTTCTCTAATGCCAATGATCAATAAAGTACTTCTTATCTTATCTTTATCTTATAAAAACACATGCTTTCACATCTAGACACAGTTTACATTAAACAACGATTAAAGCAATCGCACCATGTACTCGTAGGGCTGAATCAATTTAAATGTCAATCAAAAACAAATTGATATTTATAAAATAATAATTGATATGATTTTATTTGTAGTTGCCCAGTTTATTACCTTATAAAGCTTTGTCAAACGTCTTTACTTATAATAAAATGCAACAGTTTAACTTATATAGTTGGTTGCAGCAAGTCCACAGAATCAAAACTACTGCACGCATCAATAAGAATAATTTACAAAGAAATTAAGACAATACATCTAGTAAGTCATTTTGGATAATGTGGTTTGTGGTGTTGTATTAGACTGCATTACATTTAGAGCCAAGTCAATATATTGATTTAGTAGATCAATAGAAGACAAATCGGCACCTAATATTGCTAATGAATGAATAGTTGTTTGTGTACAAAAAGGTGGAAAATGCCATTTAAACCTCTATAGGAGATGTCCTTATTTTCTCACTTTCATATCAGATTACATCTAATATATTTGGGTTTCTGACAGAAGAAATCTCTGAAAGACTTCACCTTGGACTTTCAGAAACAAGGAGGGACATTTTCACTATTTTATAACATTTTAAAAACCATACAATGAATCTAGAATATAATAATTTAGTTTGTTGCAACACAGATTAAATGATGCGTGTAAACTGTTGAGGCAAAACAGGTAATATGATATCACTATCACTGCTCGAGCAACCTGACATCTTGTCAACACAGTGAGCTCTCAGATGTTTCGGATCACAGAACAAACAAACAACAATGATGGAGGAACATTTCAAAAGAAGCTAAACAAAAAAAACAGGTTTCCCCTTTTTTGTGTCCTGATCTGATTTGTGTTTTAAGAATAAGACACAAAAAGGGGAACAATGCAGATTGCTTTGTAAATACGTGTGTGTGCATGTGCATGTAGGCCAAAGGCAAACCCTAATGTTCAAAGGAAGGATTAAGACAGGGGTGTCCAAACTACGGCCCGGGGGCCAAATGCGGCCTGCGGACCATTTTGAATCGGCCCTCAGCAAATTCAAAAAGTATAATGGCCCACAAATGAAACTTGTGCTTTTCTTATATTGTACTTCTTAAGTATAAATGTAAACATATATTACACAGTGGTATTCATGTGTCAAATAAATTCAGTCAATTAAAGTTGGAAACATTTTCTTAGTTGATAAGAAAAAAGCCCAATGACTTGTTTAAATAACAAGCTTGAAATACACCCTTCCTATTTCTCCTTATTATAATCAATCTGAGGCTTCTGTTTTAAGGGATGAGCTGCCAACACTCACAAGCATAATATACCAACATTTGATTGATTTTGCTGACTTATACCTGAACTTATGAGGCAATATACCTCTAGTGAGTGGCCCAGCCCTTCGTATATTTTTCTGTATGAGGCCCTCTGTGAAAAAGGTTTGGACACCCCTGGATTAAGAGAACGAGGGTAAGAGGGGGCAGGGCCAGTTTAGCTAAAAACATGTAGCAGTGCTGGAAAGTCAACACGATTTTTTATAAAATCCCATCATTCCCAATATCCAATCAAAGTGTCTGTTCTCTTACTGACTGAAACACACACCCTGTTTGAGCAGGAAACACAGATGCAGGCTTTAAAGAGCAGATTTACTGAGGCTTGAAGCCTTTTCACTAAGTAAAGTTTAGTGAGCCGGTCACCAATTAACATGGGAACTAGTTAATCTTTAACACCATTTGACTTTAAACATCAACCAGTAGAGTAGATTTTACATATTTAAACATTGTGCCTATGACATTAGGCTTTACAGAACCCTTTTGTAGCTTCAAAATAAGATACTTTCCAAACTCTACAACAGTCAAATGAAAACTCATATTGAATGTCCAAATATGGTTTAAACCCATACAACGTTGCAGCTAAATATACGAGTCAACAGCAAATCACTGGCTATTTTGATAAATATTCTCAAACTCATTAGTTTCCTAATTCAGATGATTTGCTGCTTTTTCCATTACGTGATAATTAACTTTAAATATTTAGATGTTGAAATGTTGATCAGACAAAGGAAGCAGTTTTATGACATCCCTTTGGGCTACAGGAAATAGTGATGCACTTTTACTGTTGTGACATTTTATAGACCAAACTGTCAATCAGTAAACAGAGTAAACAATCTGAAGAATAGAAGATGGATTTAATCGTTAGCTGCAACTTAACATAACTTTATTACATAAGTGTAGTTTGCCCATATACTAAATATGTAAGGCTAAATTTGGAAGAAAGGTGCAAAGAAATGCACAATATCTATAATAAAACTAAATCATAAGACATTCATTTAGACTTTCCCATTTTCCTAAAATTAATGTTTAAAGTTTATGATGAAGGATGTATTTGTGATAATGTAAAAACATTGTTGAACATATCAACATTTAAATAAAAGTAGAAAACACACATACAAATAAATAGTCAAATGTGAGACAGCTCAAACAAACACACCTTAATAAGGGTCACACACACACACACACACACACTTCTGGCTTCAAACCCAACAAGTTTCACCTTCTCTCACAGTCATTCTCACACACACTCACACACACAGATCAGCCCCAGCAGCTGGTACTGGTTCACAATCAGTTTAAGGTTCTGGTGCTGATGGGCTTCTTACCTGTTCAGGTGACCGTGGTTTCTTTCTGCTGAAACTCTGCTGCGTTTCCTGCTGCTTCTGCTGCTGGGTGGAGGATCTTCACCTGCTGCTGCGGTGTCACTTTAAGCCCCGCCCACTTCACCTGCTGCGTTCAAGACCTGTGGGAAATACGGCAATTTTCCGAAATAAGGGGACATTTACAGCGTTACAGCAAAGGTGAGATAGCAGGTAAAAAAGGCAGCAACAATTAAGAGTAAGCTAATTTATGAAATATATATATATAGACTTTTTGCACTACTTTTTATTTTGTATTTGTGTATTTTATTATATATGTTGCATTGTTGGAGGAGCTCAGGTCAGAATAATTTCATTGCCATTTCTACGCTTTGTGCATATGACAATAAAACCTTTCAATCTTGAATCTAGAAAGAAAGGACATGTGTAACTAAAATACTAAAAACTCATCCATGGCTAAAAATGAGTATCAGCATTTAAATATCGAACAGAACACATTAAGGTTTGAGATTTTATAACAATGATGTTTTGTACTTAAAAATGATTATTGCACACTATAATTGCCAGAAAGAAAAGTGTCTATATTGCACGTTTGAGGTTTATTGCACAAGATATCAATAGTCTGTTGTGTGGGGGTCTACCAGGGGCCGTTGAATAGTCTGACGGAAGTAGTAGACTAATATATTAAATAAAGAGGCAAACACTCGTATATAAATATAACAATCAAATACAAATGAATACACATTCATAGAAACAATGGAAGCAGCATTATTAAAAGCTAAGGGAATATATCAAAGTAACGAGGAAGCAGCAAGAGACAACATTGATAGTCTCTAAAAAGAAAACAAGTGTATATTGCAACTTTAAAAGATATTGCACAAGTTGAGAGACGTCAGGATTACGAGACATCAAGTAGGAACCAGGTGCATTGTTTTCATATTACGTAATGTCGAACAATTATGATTCTGTGTAATCATGAAGAACATGACGACACTGGTTCCCCAACATTTTCCCACATCCATTAAAAATCAAGTTTGAACATGTCGTCAGAAAAGCACAGGATTTCATCATCATATGTCTGAGCTTTATTTTCCCACGACATTGCGAAAAAGTTAAAATTGGTCGAATTACTGTACCACAAAATTGTCACTTAGACTTTTATGTTGAAGTTATAAGTAACGTTTTTAGTTTGGGATTATATTTGACTGAACATATGATCAACAAAAACAGGAAAACAATTGCATACTTAAAGGTCCCCTATTATACTGTTTTTCATCAATATATTATAGCTCTATATATACTCGATATATACAGAACCTGTCTCTGATTGGCTGAAACACCAAACAGATCATTGCAGCATCCCATAATCCCCTCTGTTTCAGCCCTGTTTCAAAAGTGCTGATTCTCTGTCTGTTACTTTAGATGAAAATAAGGAGCCACTCCCCACGCCCCTCTGAGAGATATTTGGTTAAAAAGAACACAATGGTGCTCTAGGAGGAGATTCAGGTGATAAGGTGTGGGGGGGGGGGGGGGTTACCTTGGTTGGTGATTGGCTAATGGTTACACAAGCCAAAAAATCGTTATGACATCAAAATCTGATCAGCTCATTTTCAGACAGGTTTTTATATAAATGGATCAGGACAAAAAGAGAGAGAATCTTTGTTCCTGAAACTTTCAGAGTCTCTTTCCACAGAGGGGACACATGTTGATGAAGAAGAGACATGAAAAAGTGGATTTTGAATAATAGGATAAACGTCATCGAGTGGCGCCGAAGGAGTGTTTAAATGCATGTTAAATGCCCAGCATTCGGCGCCACTCGATGACGTAGTATACTTGAAATAGTGGCTCTGCAGCAGGTATACTCGACATTGAGAAACGGCCACTGTAGTTTGATTTGAGTGAATCCCACACACACTGTCCTGCTGCTACAAATACACCAAATGTGGATTAACAGGCCACTGAAAATAGTCCCAAACAAATACGATACGATACGATAATACTTTAATGGTCAGATCAAGTCTGAAATTTGACTTGCATCACAGCAGCTCCATGTGTAACATCAACATAAACAAATATTACATTACATGTTACTTGTTAGATGCTTTTATCCAAAGCGACTTACATACTCAATACTGTGGACAATCCCCACAGAAGCAATTTGGGGTGAAGTGTCTTGCCCAGGGACACAACGACATGCATGTCTGCAGTGGGGTTTTAACCTATGACCCCCTGATCCGAACATCAACGCACAACCCACTGCACCACACGCCTCCCTAAATATCAAGACACAATACATGAAAAACAAACATTTAACATAACAGCACGATCACTGAGAGAAAACATGCTCAAAGACCCTTTCGCGTGCATTTGATCTGTTGATCTGTTTTATTTTTGTTTTTTTTACTGTGTTTGTTGTTTCCCCGGCAGACAAAGACTCGTCTCTGGAGATCAAATACCGTCCGAAGAAAACCAAAGAGAAGGAGAGTGAGGAGAAGCCTGAGGGAGACGGGAGCTCCACCCCTCAGCCCAAGATTGACAGGAGGCGGGGCTCACAGGTAACCTAGCAACAGCACTGACAAGGGGGCGGGGCTCACAGGTAACTAGGCAAAAGCAGTGATAGAAGGCGGGGCTTAAACCGGTTTCACTGGAGGATTTTGTCTCATTTTTTAGGGATTTGTTTAAGTTTTTTGACATATCTGTTGACATTTCCATTTATTTCGTTCATTACCAACTGTAGTTGTTTTACATCTGATATTTTTAATATTTTGTTTAATACTTTGTGTAGTTTATCTGTTATTTTGTGTAGTATTTTGTAATATAATACAGCTTTTAGCATGTACTGTTCAATTATTTTATTTGAGTATTTAAGTAAACATTTTGTATAAGAGCTTCTCTGATTTTTCATTACTTTCTTTGTCTTATATGTATTTTTAATAATTCATCAGATATTTTTAACAATATCTTTACAAAGTTTTTTGATCAAATGTTATATATTTTTTACATTTAGCATAGTCTTCTTGTAACATCGTTTTTACATTTGGTCAGATCAAGCGTTCAGCGCGGATGTGTGGGGAGTGTGAGGCCTGTCTGCGCACGGAGGACTGCGCTCAGTGTGACTTCTGCAAAGACATGAAGAAGTTCGGAGGTCCGAATAAAATCCGACAGAAGTGTCGCCTCCGGCAGTGTGAGGTCCGAGCCCGGGTGAGTCAGCTTTATAAGGAGAATAACTAAACACTGTTATTATATTATTGTTAGAAAAATCTCACTCGTCACCGGCTTGAGCTTCAATCTCAGGATCCATGTATTTACCAACCAGGTTACCTTGGTTGGTGATTGGCTAATGGTTACACAAGCCAAAAAATCGTTATGACATCATAAAGTGGCCAAAATCTGATCAGCTCATTTTCAGACAGGTTTTTATATAAATGGATCAGGACAAAAAGAGAGAGAATCTTTGTTCCTGAAACTTTCAGAGTCTCTTTACACAGAGGGGACACATATTGATGCAGAAGAGACATGAAAAAGTGGATTTTGAATAATAGGTCCCCTTTAATATTTTAACCCACTGCAGTCTAATTTAACTTAATCGTGTATTATGGGGGACCTCCAGTGAAGTCAGGTCGCCGCGTTCACACCAAGTACTTTGCCGTACTTAGTGCCCCGGCAATTATTACCCCAGGGCACTTAATACAGATCGCGTTCACACCGGAATAAATTCCCTGAGGGAAGATTATGCAAATGAGCCGCTGACGTCACTTCGTCTTCTTCTGCTTTGGGTTTACTGGCAGGCCGCAAACCACTTCACGGTGTATACTGCCACCCGAAGTCCCCGGCCGGAAGTCCCCGGACTTGGGGACTGGCTTCAGTAGAAGCTGCTGGGACTCCCAGCAGCTTCTACTTAAGCCTTCCGAGTAAATCGCCAGAACGCCGACACCTCCTCATCACTCCACCACTCCCATGTTTTTTTTTGTGTTGCCATAAATTATTCTCTCTCCGTTGGTGCGTGGGGCTAATGCTAATGCTAATAATGCTAATGCCAGCAAATACAATGGCGGCTTCAAAAAACCTTTCAGAGTTTTATGGGCCGTGGTTTGCAATTCGCCCAGCCAATCAGAACTGGGGCACTTTTTCCCCCCAGGATAGTTCCACCTCTCAGCAGGCACTAAAAATGGGGGTAAAAGTTCCGGCACTAAGTACTCTTTTTGGTGTGAACGCAACATAAGGGGTACTAACGGAACTAAACGGGAAAAGTACGGGGAAAAGTACGGGGAAAAGTACTCCGGTGTGAACACGGCTAATGAGTTCGATAGCACGATAAAAAGCTGTATTAAGGCGATAATTATAAATTAGCATAAAAGGAAAATACTACATAAATAGCAGTGACTGGTGCTGGATTTGTGTGTCTGTGTGTGTGTGTGGGGGGGAGGGGTGTTAAAGTCACGGTCCAGTGGGGGCAGGATGGAGAGGTGAGATATGCGGCTTTCACACCAGCGCTTTTCCCTTTCTAGCTCCTAGCGAGAGCTTTTCTGGTTCAGCTCCAGTTTCCCTTTTCAGCTCCCGCTCTGTTCACACTGCCCAGAGCTGCCGCTGCTGCGTCATGACGTCACAGTTTACGTCGCTGATTTTCTCCCACAACAACAACGGGCCGGGGACTGCGTCGGGTCGATGATCGTGTTGCTTTTAATCATACGAAGCCAGATTAAATTAAATAACGACTTCTCCAACCTTATACTTTTCTCCAGAGTGCCGTGGTTCATTGTTTATTAATGTGTTTCAGCGGCATTTACCGACCGCTGCAGTGCTGGCTGCTCTTCCACGGGAGTTTATTCTCCCGTTAGCTCCAGGTTAGCTCACACGGCTCTAAAGTATTCACTGTCTGACTGTCACACAAGCAGCTGTTACATATCCCCAGTTCCCCTTAAGTGAATGTGTGTCAGTCTGAATTGACGCTGTTTGGCATCACAACGCTGTTATGAAAGTTTCTCTGGTATAACATGGGTGATGTTAGCATAGCAACCGAAGCTAAACTGACTACTTGCTAAGCCGTTTTCTACAGGCACATTTTACCGGCGTATTTTTCATTATGATTCTACTTGTGATAGTCGGACATGACAACCTGTACAGCCCATGTATCTCCACAATGATCAATAACAGCGAACGGATGGTCAAAGTAAGGTTTCCTGCACGCCTCGATGTAAGAGATGTAAGCGACGCCGCGTCATAGCTCCGAAGCTCTTGCCTCTGGACCGACAATTTTTTGGAGCTGGAAGTGAACCGCATTCCGGAGCTATGACGCGCCGCCGCTGCGGTGTGAACAGGAAAAACCGGCGCTTTTCCAGCTCCGAGCAGGAGCTGGAAAAGCGCCGGTGTGAAAGGGGCATAGAGGGGAGAGAAGGAAGAGAGGGGAGTGAGGGGAGAGAGGGCAGAGGTGGGAGAGAGGGGAGAGGTGGGAGAGAAGGGAGAGAGGGGATAGGTGGGAGAGAGGGGAGAGAAGGGAGAGGTGGGGGAGAGGGGAGAGAGGGGAGAGGGGGGAGAGAGGGGATAGGTGAGATAGAGGGGAGAGAAGGGAGAGAAGGGAGAGAGTTCAGCCTCCTGACAGCCTGGTGGAACTTAACATTTTTCTTGAATATGACATATTTTTAAATATTTACTAACTTATATTTCAACTGAATTTCTACAGTGAAACTTCAATAAAAATGTATGTAAACTGAATTGGGTCATTGGGTAAAAGAACACCCGACAGGCGGATCAGGAGCCCGACGCGAAGCATGCAGTTTGCTTTTCGGCCAAACTGTATACAATTCAATCGACCGGACTTCTTTGTGCAGATGTGAGCGTCCTTAACAACGGTCAATAAGTCCTTGACAGCGGTCTGTCTGTACTGGATTAACAACGTGTCACGTGTTCTGAATTGACCAATCAGAATCGAGTATTCAACTAAACTATGAAATACATTTAAATATAGACTGCCTGCTTTAACCACTGATACAGCAACTTGAATAGGATTTATTTGAAGTGAGGGGTCACAAAGGGAAAATCTTTGTCCCCATTTACAAAACAACATTTTAATTAATTATTTTTTTAAATAATGTATTTAAATCTTATTTTTTTCACTTTATTTGTTTTTGTTTTAGTCAAATATATGTTTTCATATAAAATGTCTATATATTTTTTATAAAGTTAGTTTTATGATTGTATTATGTATCATATTATTATTTTATTTTATTTAATACTTATTTTCTTTTCTTACTATTATTGCATATTATTTTATTATTTAAATTATTATTTTCTTCTTCTTATTATTATTGTTTTTATTATTATTTTGTGGGGCCAAAACACATAAATGTAAAAACATTTCCAATCATTGAAACATAAATAAATTCAGTGATATACCGTTATAATTTGGAAAACTACCTTGATATGAGTTTTTGTAATACTCTAACACACACTAACAGAAAATTCAAACACTAGAAAATCATAACATCAGTTTTTAATGAAACATCAGTTTGAATACAACAACATGAACAAACAGTATAAAACAACATGATGAGAAAAATACAAAATATAAAAACAACTGTAACATGACACTTTAATATAAAATAAGACAAAAGAAGAACAACATATCAAACTTTTAGCTGCATGTTGTGTTGTTATTGTTGACGTTGGTTTTCATAAAACTGAACTGTAGTGCATTGTGGGTAGTGTAGTTCTTTAGGGAATAAAACAGTATAAAACATGATTAAAACTGTATAGAAACAGAGGAGTACAGGAGGTAATACTGGTATCATGTAACACTGTGAGTACATCAACAAAGGTGTTAAAGACAATATCCATGTGATGCTTCAATCCTAATTTAAGATTTAATCACACAATTATGAGAGTCTTTTCTTATTATGAGGAAATCCTGTCATTTCAAATCCCTGTCTCGTAATTACAAGAAATCCTTATGTCATAATAATAAAGACTTTCTCCTCCCTGCTCCTTTCCATCATGGGCTACAAAAAAAATGCTTAAAGTGAACGTGTTTTGGAATAAACTAATAAATACAAATACAAATGAATAATTCCTATGATTTTCTTGTAATGAGATAAGGTCAGGATGAAATATACAAACACGATAGAAATAGTTGAAATCTTTCCAGGGAGCTATGTCCTCATAACTGTCTGTCTCTCTGTCTACCTGTCTGTATACCTGTCTGTCTACCGGTCTGTCTACCTGTCTACCTGTCCTTGGCAGAACGCAGGTCTGTGGCGATGGGGTCGTGTTGGATGGTCTGGTGCAGCATCAGAGCCATTAAACCGGCTCGATTCGTCATCGCCGTCCTCAGATTCCTCTCCTGCTCAAACAGCTCGTCCAGCTTATACCACTGAGAGAGACAGACAGACAGACAGACAGACAGACAGACAGACAGAGACGGACGGACAGACAGACAGACACACAGACACACACACAGACAGACAGACAGACAGACAGACACACAGACAGACAGACACACAGACAGACAGAGAAAAAGAGAGGATTATGATCTGGAGTGTGAACACAAGGATTTTAGCCTTAGCAGACCATTTACATGCACAAAAACCTACATAAACCCACTACAGGAAAGTTTTGAAGGCAGTTTTTTACCACTCGGACTCTCTCAAGGTCGACCTCTGCGCGGCGCAGTTTCTCCCAGCAGTAATGTTTGTTACACTTCCTCTTGGACACTCGACAAAACTCTCCCGTCGGCTCGAACACGTCTTTCACCAGAGGACAGCCGCACACCTCGTCTGCTGGGATCTGACAGACAGACAGGCAGAGAGAGAGAGAGAGAGAGAGAGAGAGAGAGAGAGAGAGAGAGAGAGAGAGAGAGAGAGAGAGAGAGAGAGAGAGAGAGAGAGAGAGACAGAGGGTGTTTCTCAATCGCGAGTACGCTTGCTTGGTAGCACATGTCTGCCGAGCATCTTGCTTCAGAAGCGAGTCAAGAATACTTCCTGGCATTCGGAAAACAAAGAGTGGAACAGGCTAGCAAGTGTGCAGGTGTGCGTCATATGAGAGGCCCCGCCTTACATCTTCCGCCACAGATTTGGGGAAATTGGTCCGTGCGCAAAGCATTGTGGGGATTTTAAGACCGCGGAGTCTACTCATGTGCAGACTCGATATTTCTCCAAACGGAGTACGCCGGGCTCGGTAGATTTCCAAGTATACTGGAGATTGGAACAGTACTTCGGCGGCACTCGATGACGTAGTATGCTTGAAATAGTGGCTCTGAAGCAGCTTTACTCGAGATTGAGAAACACCCACTGAGAGTCTGAACACTTTTCAAATAGGACATTTTGCACTTATTTCTTCCTGAGATTTCTTGACTTTTTAAATTGTCCTATTTTTACATTTTTGTTATGTATGGACAGAGAAGCTCAAAGCAAAAACTGCATTAATTAAGTTATTAAAACATTCTGTGATAAATCATTTAATTTTACACAATTTCTGGGGTCCAAATCGCATAAACATGTCTTAAAAAAATCCAACATTTGATGTGGATGTGATGAAATACTTCAGTTTGTTTACCTTCGGGTCTCTGGAGTGTTCAGGACACAGAACCTGCAGCCGCTTGCAGTACGTCTTACTCTGAGGGTTATAAACATCACAGAACAACCGGGTCGCCCTGACACACACACACACACACACACACACACACACACACACACACACACACACACACACACACACACACACACACACACACACACACACACAGACAGGTTATAGACTGAGAGTATTTATATTTATATAATGCTTTAAAATACAGAAAGACAGACATACACGTTCTCTTACCCCTCTATTCGTGTTGGGTACATGGATCCAAAAGATGTCTGACTCTCGTACTGTTGAACAGAAAGACAGTTGTGATTAGTTTTCACTGATTATTTTTCGCAATCATTGTCAGGATACAGTGTCTCTAAGTATTATCAGATATCTCCTTTATGTATACAGGTGTTTTCCTGATAACTAAAGGCATGCTAACCTTAGCGTAGCATCTCTCCATGTGTCTCAGCGCCACCTTGGGGTTGACGGGCTGACTGCAGGAAACACAGAAGATCTGAAGGTCTGTGTCATCGCCGTCACCTTCAGTCGCCTGGAGAGAGAGAGAGAGAGAGAGAGAGAGAGAGAGAGAGAGAGAGAGAGAGAGAGAGGAAAAAGAGAGGGAAGTCACTGATTTAAATCTAGTATGGGAAAAATCATGAGAGATTACAATGAGACTTTTGATTTGGTAAACAGAGATATCTGTGGCTAAGTGTAAATTATGGTGTCTGAATAAATTGGGCATTAAAAACTTGTAAATTTGATGTGTGATGTGTGTACCCAGGGAGTGTGGAAGTAATTAGGTTTCCCCAAATGCACAGATCATTAAGGACTCAAGTGAACTGATGCAAACTGATTTTTGTTTAAGAAAGGACATGAGTCACTTCACACAATAGATGTATCGCCTGAACAGGGACTTGAACCCTGGACCCTCAGATTAAAAGTCTGATGCTCTACCGACTGAGCTATCCAGGCTCTGAAAGACACCTTAGTAGTGAAAGTATGCATAACCACATTTGCATTAAGTATCTGAAAATCAAGACAGCTTTCAAGGAGATCAGCAATGTGGCAACCAGAGAGATCTTTGGTTGAGTGTAAATGATGAGGCACTTATAAATGGGGCCTTGAAGACCTGTGTGAGTGACTTGGATTTATCTAGATAGTCTGGTAGGAAACAAACTACCACGAATGCAACAAGCGGACTTTGCATAGCAGACAAATGTTAGCTTTAGAGAGGACTTGAGTCACATCACACAATAGATTTATGCCTGAACAGGGACTTGAACCCTGGACCCTCAGATTAAAAGTCTGATGCTCTACCGACTGAGCTATTAGATCAGCTAAGGTCCAAAAGGCTATATGAGCACATGAAGGAATGTTTTTGCTTTCATTTCCTGCTTTACCCCTCCAATGTTTTAATGCCCAAATAGAAAATGAGCTTAATAAGAGGTAGATGGATTCACTTCTTTCTTTCTTTCTGTCTGTCTGTCTGTCTGTCTGTCTGTCTGTCTGTCTGTCTGTCTGTCTGTCTGTCTGTGTGTCTGTCTGTCTGTCTGTCTGTCTGTGTGTCTGTCTGTCTGTCTGTGTGTCTGTGTGTCTGTGTGTCTGTCTGTCTGTCCGTCCGTCCGTCTGTCCATCTGTCTGTCTGTCTCACCTCCTCGTGCTGTAGGACCTGCTGCTGCTTGGCGTTGGCGATGATGCCTTCCAGTTCGTGGAAACGTTTCTCCATGGTTGTCAGCCGGAGCCTCGACGCCTGCTGCTCCTTCCTGATTCGCTCCAGCTGCCTCCGGCCCATCTCCTCGGCGATGCAGGGACTCTGCTGCCACTGCTGGATCCTCTGAGGCAGGATCTCATACAGACGACTGGCAAGAGGAGAGCAACAAAGAAACAGTCATTCATCAGGGAGTAAGGGGCGGGACATCTCTAAGAGGTTGACCAATCACAACAGAGCCGGCCAGCTAACCAATCAGAGCAGACTGGGCTCTGGTTTCAGACAGAGGGTGAAAAGAGGTGCTGCAGCACAGGCAGTATGAGAAAAATAAAGAGCTTTTTGAACATTAAAAGATAAGATAAGATAAGATGGAGCTTTATTCATCTCCGTGGGGAAATTCAGTAGTTGAACAGCAACAGGGTAAGAATGAAAAACAGGACAGCACAGATTCACACAGATTAGAGATTAATAAAATGAAAGATAAAAAGAAAGATACAAATTAAATGATATACAGTTAAGTAACTTTAAAATATGAAAGGAACATATACATATTTGGGTCCTATATACATATTAGATATATTTACATGTATGTGTGAAAACAGTGTGTATTTTATGTCCAGTACTTGTGTCACATTGTTGACCCTTGTTGTGCAGCCTGATGGCTACAGGCACAAAGGATTAAAGCATGGAGACACATAAATATGAACCAGGAAATTAGCCGAATGTTTCCTCTTTGATGTTGATGATGTTGATGATTTTGGTGTAGTGTGCATTAAATGCGTTACTCACTTCGCGGCCAGCTTCATGCCGCAGTCGTCGGTGCAGTATTTGGAGTTGGCCCTCGCTGCTTGGACACATCCTGGTCCCAGACACTGACGCAAGGCCCCGCCCACTTCCTTAGCCCCGCCCTCTCCTCCTCGCTCGCTGTGACGCACTCGCTCCTTGTGGCGCTGCTTCGCTTTGTGACGGCGAGGCTTCACCTCCTCTTTGGGAGCGGAGACAGTTTTCTACAGCAGAGGATAGGAAAACAACAGCATTTTATTTCACTGTATGTTGGGAAAATGAATGTGACTGAATGTACTCTTCCAATATCAGAGTACACGTGATAACAAAGGTATCCCAACTGTAGCTGTGTACAGGACAGGATGTATGATTACCTAGAAGAGCATCAGGACTGTTTTAGGCATATGATAGCTATGTGATTAACATGATGATTCAGCCTCTATGGAGATAGACATATGACAAGCATGATCATTTCTGACGTGGAGCTAATCTGAAGTAAACATTGAATACTGCTTTCTATTCCTCCATCTTGTGACTGTGTAACTCCCTCTCTTGGATATCAGCATGTGAAGGACACTGTTCAGGAACTAGTTGATGCTCTGTATGTGATGACTACTTCCATTCTGGAGAGGATCATAAATACATGGATCCTGAGATTGAAGCTCAAGCCGGTGACGAGTACATGTACATTCTACTTTTAGCTCATACTGTTCTATTTTACTTGAATATAGTTAACTTCTCCTGCATTACCTGTAAAATAGTCTTGCAACAATCTCTTGCACTATTTTATTTATACTGTTTCAATATATTCAATATATATAGATACATCTTTTATTATTGATATGTATATATATTTACTGTTTTGCGTATTTTGTATATCTTTTACTGCTGATATGTATATCTTTATTGTGTTACTATATTTGATTTACCTCTAATACATGTGCAATGTCTTATCTATACTGCTGTGATGAAAACATTTCATATATCTTATCTTATCTTGTTTCTTCTTGCACTATTCTTTTTGTTTTTGTATTTGTTTTATGTCTTATATATATATATATATGTATTGTTGGAGGAGCCTGTGAATTAAGCTTGTCATTGCATATCTACACTGTGGATGTGACAATAAAGCTCTTTAAATACTTTGAATACAATAGAGGGCTATTTTAAACCATATTTCTGCAGCAAGAGGAAAACAATTCAACGTGGGAAAATGTATTCTATGTTGTATTGCCGTCCCCACCTTCTTCTCCACCTTCTTCTCCACCTTCTTCTCCACCTTTTTCTCCACCTTCTTCTCCGGCTTCTTCTCCACCTTCTTCTCCGGCTTCTTCTCCTGTCTCTTCACGTGTTTCACCTTCACCGCCTTCTTCCTCAGAGACTCCAACTGCTCCTCCTCCTCATCCTCGCTGTGCCACATCTGCAACAGGAAGAAGCGTCACACCACAGGAAGTGTCTGTTCTGGCAGCCGATTGGTCAGAAACGCTCAGTCTCACATACTCACCAGGTCTCTGTATCCGGCAGCTTTGTACTGTTCGTACAGCTCCAGCTCGCTCTCACTGAAGGCCACGTCATCATCATCGTCATCCTCCTCCTCATCATCATCATCCTCCTCCTCCTCTGTATAATGCCCCGCCCCTTTCCTCGTTAGGCACCGCCCCCTGCTGCTCCGTTTCATCTCCTCGTCTTTGACTCGAAGCATCTTCTGCTCAAAGATCGATAAATCAATAATCAACATTATAGGAATGAATATATCTTTTAAAGGTCACCTATTATGCAAAATCCACTTTTTCATGTCTCTTCTACATCAACATGTGTCCCCTCTTCTTCATGTCTCTTCTACATCAACATGTGTCCCCTCTTCTTCATGTCTCTTCTACATCAACATGTGTCCCCTCTTCTTCATGTCTCTTCGACATCAACATGTGTCCCCTCTTCTTCATGTCTCTTCTACATCAACATGCGTCCCCTCTTCTTCATGTCTCTTCTACATCAACATGTGTCCCCTCTTCTTCATGTCTCTTCGAAATCAACATGTGTCCCCTCTGTGTAAAGAGACTCTGAAAGTTTCAGGAACAAAGATTCTCTCTCTTTTTGTCCTGATCCATTTATATAAAAACCTGTCTGACAATAAGCTGATCAGATTTTGGCCACTTTATGATGTCATAACGTTTTTTTGGCTTGTGTAACCATTAGCCAATCAGCAACCAAGGTAACCTGGTTGGTAAATACATGGATCCTGAGATTGAAGCTCAAGCCGGTGACGAGTGAGATTTTTCTAACAATAATATAATAATAGTGTTTAGTTATTCTCCTTATAAAGCTGACTCACCCGGGCTCGGACCTCACACTGCCGGAGGCGACACTTCTGTCGGATTTTATTCGGACCTCCGAACTTCTTCATGTCTTTGCAGAAGTCACACTGAGCGCAGTCCTCCGTGCGCAGACAGGCCTCACACTCCCCACACATCCGCGCTGAACGCTTGATCTGACCAAATGTAAAAACGATGTTACAAGAAGACTATGCTAAATGTAAAAAATATATAACATTTGATCAAAAAACTTTGTAAAGATATTGTTAAAAATATCTGATGAATTATTAAAAATACATATAAGACAAAGAATGTAATGAAATATCAGAGAAGCTCTTATACAAAAATGTTTACTTAAATACTCAAATAAAATAATTGAACAGTACATGCTAAAAGCTGTATTATATTACAAAATACTACACAAAATAACAGATAAACTACAAAGTATTAAACAAAATATTAAAATATCAGATGTAAAACAACTACAGTTGGTTAATGAACGAAATAAATTGAAATGTCAACAGATATGTCAAAAAACTTAAACAAATCCCTAAAAAATGAGACAAAATCCTCCAGTGAAACCTGTTTAAGCCCCGCCTTCTATCACTGCTTTTGCCTAGTTACCTGTTAGCCCCGGCCCCTTGTCAGTGCTGTTGCTAGGTTACCTGTGAGCCCCGCCTCCTGTCAATCTTGGGCTGAGGGGTGGAGCTCCCGTCTCCCTCAGGCTTCTCCTCACTCTCCTTCTCTTTGGTTTTCTTCGGACGGTATTTGATCTCCAGAGACGAGTCTTTGTCTGCCGGGGAAACAACAAACACAGTAAAAAAATAAAAAATAAAACAGATCAACAGATCAAATGCACGCTAAAGGGTCTTTGAGCATGTTTTCTCTCAGTGATCGTGCTGTTATGTTAAATGTTTGTTGTTTGATTTTCATGTATTGTGTCTTGATATTTAGGGAGGCGTGTGGTGCAGTGGGTTGTGCGTTGATGTTCGGATCAGGGGGTCATAGGTTCAAACCCCACTGCAGACATGCATGTCGTTGTGTCCCTGGGCAAGACACTTCACCCCAAATTGCTCCTGTGGGGATTGCCCACAGTATTGAGTATGTAAGTCGCTTTGGATAAAAGCGTCTAACAAGTGTAATGTAATATTTGTTTATGTTGATGTTACACATGGAAATTTCAGACTTGATCTGACCATTAAAGTATTATCGTATCGTATCGTATTTGTTTGGGACTATTTTCAATGGCCTGTTAATCCACATTTGGTGTATTTGTAGCAGCAGGACAGTGTGTGTGGGATTCACTCAAATCAAACTACAGTGGCCGTTTCTCAATGTCGAGTATACCTGCTGCAGAGCCACTATTTCAAGTATACTACGTCATCGAGTGGCGCCGAATGCTGGGCATTTAACATGCATTTAAACACTCCTTCGGCGCCACTCGATGACGTAGTATACTTTAAAGGGGACCTATCATGCAAAATGCACTTTTGTACGTCTTTTATACATGAATATGTGTCCCTGGTGTTCCAGGGAACTCACCAAGTGTCAGAAAACACAACCCTCTCTATTTTCCTCCATACCCAAATCTCTAAAAAAGGGGCTGCAACGGATCTGATAAAAACTGATCCAGATTTGAACACTGTCCTGACGTCAGGACGGTGGCGCTACGGCTATTGGGCCAACTCCACCAATCAGGAGGAGACAGCCACGGCCATTGCCGTTCGAAAGCGCTGGAGACGCTGTAGTACATATGCCAGGCCTGTAGATGGTGCTGTTCTCACTGAATCTGCCCAGAGCTAGAAATGGTCAAATTGAGCGAAATGAGGCATGGCTAAAATGCATGATCTGTTTGGTATTTTCAAAAAGAAATTTTTTTTTAAATATGCCTTATATAGGTATGGTCCTACACTATATTATTCAAATATAGCATGATAGGTCCACTTTAAATAGTGGCTCTGCAGCAGGTTTACTCGACATTGAGAAACGGCCAGTGTGTGTGTGTTCATGGTATTATAAACATATCATTGTTGTTCATGATGTGTTTTAAAGAGACCCTGTTGTGCTCTTTTGGGCTTTCCCTCTCCTGTAGTGTGTTGTAAAGGTTTCTGTGCATGTAAATGGTCTGCAAAGGCTAAAAATCCCTGTGACCACCATGAGTTTTTACGACTGTATTCACACAGATATTACACTGACCTCTGCAGGACGGGCAGTACCACACTCTGATGGATTTTGCTGCTTTTTCTGAGACTCCAACACAATTCCCATGAAACCACTCAGAGCAGCAGTCACACCCTCTGACAGACAGACAAAGACAGACAGGTACGTTTTAACTGTTGATTTTAGTCGTAGCTGCAAAAATGTGTCAGTAGATACAGTAGATACAAAATCACCAACTATTAATCAAAAATATCAGAAAAATGCAGGATCTAGCCGAAATATGAGAATAAGATTTCCTGCTTTTCGCTGTTTTATATCAAATTAAAGTGAGTAAACAAGACATTTAAGGACATCTTGGAATTTGAGAAACTGAAATTAATAATGTTTGCTATTTCCTGACATTTTATACAAAATGATTAATAGAATAATGTAGAAAACAATTTGCAGATTAATAAATAATTTAATTAATAGTTAGTTGAAGTTTGATATATTACGTGAGGTTTATTACATCATGAAACAGTTGATGTCTGCTTTCTGGCAGATGCAGTATGTAGGACCTTTGGGGTTCTTCATCGCACATTTTCTTCCTCCTCCTCCTCCTCCTCCCTCTTCACCATCATCTCCTCCTCCTCTTCCTCCTTCCTCCTCTTCCTCCTCCGGGCCTCGCTCTGCTCCTGCAGCTTCCTCCGACTGAGACACATCAAACAAACAACAAGAGAAATAACAACAAGGAAACAGTTAATTCTCTGTGGGAATTATTCAAAGCAAATGTCACGTATTGTCTTTGTGAAGACGACAAGACGTCTGCAGTACTCATGGAAAAGACAAGATTTTACAGGTGTTTTTATTTCAAATAACTGGTTTGAGATTTGTAAAAACTTTAAGGGTCTTTATACTATATCACCAAAAATGTACGGAGGCCAAAAGGTGAAAACGTGCTGCAACTGAAGAAAATATTTCCATTAGGAGAAACGCACTGCAGTCTCAAAAACGATGCGAATATAAAAACCAAAAAGTGCATAAACACATACAAATGAAGAAACAACTAATATATTTTACACATTTTGACATTATCAAATCGAGTTTTTATTTGAGAATCGAGAAATATATAACTATTTTAACAATAACTTGCACTAGTTAGAGTCCACTTGACTTGACTAGTTAATACTAGGGCTGTCAAGTTAACGCGTTAATAACGCGTTAATAACACGTTAACGCAAAAAAAATTAACGCCACTAATTATTTTAACGCGATTAACGCATGTGTATTTTTTGTCCTCGGCCGCCCCGTAGTTTCAGAGCGCATCGAGTTTAAAATACCATCTACAAGCTGATGCTGACAGCCCCGCTCCTGCCGCCCGCTTGTGGCAGACCACACTTCCACGCTCACCGGCAGGCCCGGACTGGCCATCGGGAGGACCGGGAGGGTGTGTGTATGTGTGGCGCGAGCGAAGCA